CGCGACTGCGACTGCGGGGGAAAGTCGAGAGGGGCGCATAGGGCAAATTGCGAGGGCTCGGTCGAGGGCGGCCGTGGGGATTTCGGGGCGCATATTTTCCACACCCCCGGGGGCCGGGGGCCGCGGCGCGCCGTCGAGGCGGCGAACCGGGCGAAACTCTGCATGCGCATGCGCCCGGTCGCTGCGTGAGCTTTGAAATCTCCGCTTCAGTCGCACTAAGATGGACGGCGGAGCGTACGGCGGCGGAAAGGCCGGGGCCCCTTTCGATCCGATCGCGTTCGTCCAGCGGCCGCAGGTCATTCTGAGAGCGGTATGCCTGGTAAGTCGTCGCCAGCCTCCCCGTGAGCGGGATCGTTTCAGGCCGATTCGAGCGTGATTGCGACGACGATTGCGGGTGCCGTGGAGGAAAGAGAGAGAGAGAGAGAGGGAAAGGGAGCGAGCGAGCGAGATCCCTCGACACGGATGGTCATTGATTTTAAAAGAGAGCCTCGGCTCCTCCCCCACTTCCGCGCCCACGATGGGGTTCTATTGATTTTTCGCGAATTCCAGTGGTACACCCCCGTGCCATGGATCCCCATAGCGTTCGACGTCTAATTGAGATCCGTCGCAAGTCGATTCGATGGAGCGAATCCTTCGCTTGACCTTCCCGGCGGATTGGGCGGATATACTTCGGGCGAAATACGAGGCTCGGATCGCGGGCCTCTCCCCATGTTCCATTCCCTTGACCGCGCTATTAGCTAACAGCTAACGAATGGATCCTCTCCCGTTCGTTCTCTCTTTTCCTCTCCTTCTTTTCTTCAATAAAAACGCTGATTTCCCTCCGCGTTGTACATACGTGGATACAAGGAGACGGTGTTTAAATATGCAAGGCGCCTGCAACCAGAATGATTCGGAGCACATCAGCTCAAGATCTAAGATATTTTAAGCCTGGAATTATATTTTAAATAAATACCGAAGATTTCAGACTAGCATATTTATGTTAATTTCGAATAGATTTTTATTGATTTTATTTTAATATGTCTTTGTAGGTTTTTTTCAGCCAAGGCACACATCTAATATTTCCTTTTTCTTCACTACTATCATCTTCATTTATTACTTATTATTCAAATAAATTTTAATAGAATGTAAAGAATATGAAAGATATATTTATATTCTTCCTTTTGTTCACGTTACTCTCGCCAAAATACTATGTATTTTAGTTTTCATACATAAGTATTTTCTCAAACAGCATGCATGTCTAAAAGACGTCGTAAAGACATATTTAAGACATCTTTTAAACATCTTTACAGCGACTTTTAGGCATTCATGCTGTTTGGGTTATACCTTGTTACCCAATGTATCTTATTTTTTTGTAAGCTTTCCCTGTTCTACAGAAGAATTTTTATCGTGCTTCTAGCTATTTGCAATAATCGTCTTTGGATGTATAAGCAGCAAAGGTTATCTTCCAAAAGAAGATGGGAAAGAAGTTTGTCTTTACAATGACGACAATAATGCGTGCAACTATGGAGTTGGTATCGGTGTACTGGCGTTTTTGGCCAGTATCGGATTCCTTGCGGGTGAATACCTGTTTGAACAAATGTCGTCTGTCAAGACTAGGAAACATTTTGTTCTCATAGATTTGGGGTAAGCCGCATACACTTTTACAGTCGGGACGTAAAAATAAAAATCTTATAATTATGGTTTCAAAATTATGTCAAAGGTGCTTTTCTAGAATCTTTTGATTAACACAACTTGATACGCTACATATAATTTGATATGATATTAATATCATATATTATATGTTAATATCACAGCCGTATATTAATATCATAATTACAGTTTCTCGGGTTTCTGGTCTTTCCTCTATTTCGTGGGATTCTGTTACTTGACAAATGCATGGAATAAATCTCGAAGACCAACGGAAGGATACGGCGTGAATAATCTACAAGCGGCTATCGCATTCTCATTCTTTTCCATCTTTACTTGGGTACGTTAGATGAAGTTTGTTCGGCAAGTTTTATTAAATGATAAACATCTACTTTTCATTCCTTTTAGTTTATATAGGTAAATAATTATGTAATGTTTCTCCTGTAAATTTGCCTCAGAACTATAATCTATTATTGCAGGCTGCTTGTGCTTGGTTCGCGTTTCGAAGATTTAAGCAAGGTACCGACGCAGCATTCGCTCCAAGTTACGAGGCGGATCCTGTCGGTGGAACAGGATACACAAGCTATCCTGACGCCACTGACACCGCTTACCAAGAACCACCGTTCGGTCAGCAACAACAGCGGGGTATGGGTGACTTTCAAGCCCCAGCTTACTAAATCATCCATAGTCGATACCAAAATGTATTTCCATTGGGTGCACAGCGAACTACTTACGAAAGAAGATGATTTAGGATAATTTTTCAGAACAAGATATATTGTTTTCCACCGCCTGTTTTGCTTAAAGGTAATCTCAATCTTGTTACGAAAGAATGATTTCGATATTTTAATACTCATAATTTCTTGTGTGTGGCTGCTTTTTTATGCCTTAATACTAATTTAAGAAAAGAATATAAAACATACATTCTACTTAAATGTATTTTTGATTCCGGTGAATAATGTGCCAAGGTATGTAAAAGATAATCTTTATTCAAGATCTATCTATTTAAGGATTGTCAGTGCGCAAATTCTTTTGCGCATATTTTGTTCGATATTTTGTGTTTTGATAAAATTTTATGTAGTAATTGCATTGAATTGTATTTTCTATTACAGACTAAAGAAGAACTTCATTCGCTGATAGGTCGCTGGGCAGCACGTTGGTCATAGAGTAAGTTTTCATGGCAAGATGTAGAAGGAAGTTATTTGTTAAACTGTGCTTCTTATTGTTGACCACTTGTAAGTTACACTTATCCATACGCCCAATGTCACAAAAAAAGCGTTAGGTGTGTTTGAAGTCATATATACGCCTGGACACACGTTACGATGGTGGCTATCTGACTATCTATGGGAAGTAAATATAATATCTTATAATGAACAACACTATAGCAAAACTCCATAAATAAGTAAGAAACTAGTACATGCACAGGCTATGTATATTTTAACGTTGTAACGTGTTCATGGTAAACGCGACTTAAATATAACAGTATATAATACAATGCGTTGCATTATCGTGCAAATAGTATTAAACGATGTACACGAAGTCTAGGATTGAAATGAATAAGTTGTCGAATAAGTCGATACGTGTTTTAATATTAGTGAGACAATACCTAAGTTATTTAAGTTACTTGTCGCATCAGTTGCAAGATAATGAAATATTTCTTACAGAATAGCATTAGCAAATGTAATTGCACTTATAAATCGTAAACCAAAGTTTTTATTAATATAAATTCATATATATCCAAATTATAATAGCTTTAACTTATACATAAATTGTCCGCAATGTTAATTATTGCTATATTAGATTTTTGTATTTGAGTCGCTCTATATGTTAATTCATTAACACGAAGGGAAAAGATTTATAAATGAACACGAGGAAAGGAAGTTTGTTTTTATTGACTTTTTATATTTAATATTTCTTTACTTTTCGATAAGTATTTATGGAATCTCAGGGGAACATATTTTCAATTATTTAAAATATTTATTTATTTAATTAATTATTTATACTTTATTATTTATTATGTAAGGTGGATGTAAATCTCAATTTGAAAAAGTCCTGCATTACTGAAAATATAAAATTACTTTGATTGATAATAATGAGCATAAGTGTTAACAGAAAAAAATATATATGATGATTTTGAGTTTAATCATCCTGGAGGCACACGTTACATCGAATAATAGAAAATAGCAATTTTGAATTGAGAAATTGAGCTTTATCTTTTGTTTAGAGACTTCAGAGCAAAATAAAAGTCTTATGATATTGTACTTATGATATTATTTTTAATTGAGTTTAAAGCATTTATTTAAATATTCTTTTGTCATATGCTGTATTAAACAATGTGAACGTTCGTAGAAACTTATGCAGTAATTTAGTAGTCTAAAAATATTCGAGAGAATTATACATTCTAGGTATGTGTGAACTGTACAGTTGAGTATAAGAGATTCTTTAACTTCCGTTCACGTAAAAACATGATTTTTATAGATATTTGCGTTTATAGCTTTCCGCCGATCTTTCGATATATTTAGTTTGCGTAACTCTCTTGAAGAGAATACACCTATGATAAGGTATCCTGATAATTTGGAAAACATAATTTGTGTAAAATATTATGTAAAGTGCATTAATAATAATCATTATATGTATTCTCGATAGTTCTGAAAATATCATCCCTTTGAACATGCAGGATTAATTGTGATAAGAAGAAATATTTTTTTGACATTCGGTTGTAGTATTTTACATTTTCTTTTCTTTATGATTCGCTAGAATATGCATATTCAAGGAGTTGAATTTTTAGAAGTACACTTCTCAAAATTGATCTCTCACCTTTATGAAATCTTAGTCCTTCTAAGTACATAGCTAATAACATTGTTGACTAGTAGCATGATATGATGATGGACAGCTCAAGTCCATCGAGAAGGGTTAAGGCAATAACAAACACAGTCTAAAATTTCGATCTCTACCGTATAAGAGAGGAGCAACGTGATCATGCTTTCGATTTCGCCTGTGAAATCAGAGGAAGCAGGATACATAACCGTACTTGGCAAAATGTAACGCTATTAAAAAGTATCTACTATTAAAACTATAAAAGAATAAAAACGTGTATTAAGATGTGGGTATTGATAACTAAATAGCTGTTGTATTATTGTACTTATACATACATATACATATGTAGATGTATATATATATTACGTGTATATACATATATGTACAGGGTGTCCCGTTTTATTTTTCACAGTCAAATATCTCAACATCATGTAATTTTAGAAAAAAATGCTTCAGACAAAAGTTGTACGGTTTCAAGGGAGACATAAGATGATGGCAGTGATTTGAGCTTGGATAGTTATTTGAAGGTCACCTTCAATTTCTTAAATAAAATCCCCTATTTTTTATTGCATACTCTTGTAGCTTGAGAAATCGATTAATGTAAAAAAAAATTAAAAAATTTAATTGCATTTTGTAGACGCATTCAAATTTTACAAAATTGCAAATATAAAAATTAATATTATTCGATTCCTTTCATTATTCTACGTATAAAAGTATCAAAGTAAAGTGAATCGAAAAGTGAATACTTGACGAGATATTTTATATGAAAAATTCATAACAAAATTTGAAATATCAGAAAATTTTTAACCAAAGAGAGCTTTATTATAGTATTTTGGAAAGCTCTCGTGGTAAGTTACAAGAATATGTAATGAAAAATAGAGGGTTTTATTGAAGAAATTGAAGGTGACCTTCACCTGAATTTCAAACAACTATCCAAGGTTAAATTATTGTCATCATGTTACGTCCCCCTTGAAACTGTACAATTTTTGTCTGAAACATTGTTTTTGTAAAACTATGATTTCGAGATATTTGACTGTCAAAAATAAAACGGGACACCCTTGTATGTGTGTATATATATATATATATATATATATATATATATATGTGTGTGTGTGTGTGTGTGTGTGTGTGTGTATGTATTATATATATATTATATATATACACACATACACACATCTAATCACATTGCATTTAATGCAGTAGCAATGCATATGCGTCTGTAAAGATTTGAGTGTTTAGGAATCTATAATGTAACTTGAAATAGCCAAAATACATGTAAGTGATTATTTTTATGCAGGTCCAAATGATTGTATGACAGCTAAGCGACAAATTACGTTTATTTTGTGCGATCGCAGTTTGCGATTATTCGTTTCAAATTTAACACGTGATTTGCGATATATTAATTATATATAATACTGTTACTGTCTCTTTTATATTTTTCACACAGGATGCTCAGCTGCTTTGCGACTGTTAACAGACGTGCAAGCTGCCACAAGGAAAATTTTTCTAAAAGCAAAAGCGTACGTTCACACTCATGTAAACGATTCTATTAATGGCGCATTTCTTTTCAACATGCAAAATATGTAACATCTGTTGACTTTACCGTCACTTATTGCATCATGTTAGCGACTTGGTACGCGAGTACAAAATTGAATGTCGTACTTTTATTTCAGTTAGAGATGTTTTATGGTAGTTTTACAAATTTCGTTTTATACACTTGCTACGATTGTACATACAGCACGTCTTGCGTAGAGTTTATATTCGCAAAGGAAAAAATGCAGGATTTTATTTCTTAATAAATTTTTGAGTGCCTAACATAATACAGTACAAATACAGTACGTTTCTTTTCGCGTTTTTCAGGAAGATGTATTCAGACGCCGATATAAGTCATTAATATAACATCCTTTATTTATACCTTTGCATCTTTCTATACAAGGTATTTATTTGCCTCGTTAGAAATACAAAATTGCTTCACCTTTTTCACAAGATATTGTTTAGTAACAATAAATTACTATCTAGACTATTTGGTCTAAAGAAAATAACGAGCTATCTATTAAACCTATTAAAACTTCTGTTTGTAAAATAGCATATAGTGTTTGTGTTGCAGATATACAAAACTACTTCGGTATTTCAAAAACGTTTATTTCATTTTTTTCAACTTCTTTTTCCTCTCTTTATGTAGCGTTTGGTATTTTTCTTCTAATTCACTGACTATACTCGGTACATGCTCCATAAGCTGTTCGCCGGTAAGCTTAAAGTCCGCGTCAATCCATATTCTTTTTAGTTCAATCAAGACGCTGCCGATTATCTTCTTCATCGGCACGTGTTCCATCAACATGTTGCCGCTAATAGGAAATTTCGGAATTGCCCATTGCTCGAATTCGTTCAGAAGCTGCATCGCACCACGATACCTCAATAACTCCTTCACATAGTCTTGAAGAACATCGTATCTCTTCGTTTGCTGAAGAAGGACCAACTGCTGATAAGGCTTCAATGACTTCTCGCAGGGCTTGTGTTCCTTGTGCTGCACCAGGAAGAGCGCCAGATCTCTATCGGAATTAGACAGTTTCAATCTCTCGTGTAATTTTATCACCTCGTATTCATCCTTCAGCATCGATACGATCAGGGATATAGGCTTTAAAGTCACGTTATTGGACTGCGCGCGCTGATAAACGTTTCGGAAGTTTTCCACGTCGGGTTGTTCAGGTAGACCAATATGTCTGCCACTGCCGCATTCGAGCAGCTTCAGGGTCAATTCCAGGGCGAAATTGCCAGTCAGGATCTTGTTCCATTCGCTCCAGATCCTCTCACCGGATATCTGTTGCAGGCCGTCGATATTTTCCTTCAACGCCTCTATCGTTGCCTCGTCGTGCTGGTCTGGGCTGTCCATTATTCTTCCATAAAAACGAAAGTACCTGGCAGCAATTAAACAATGCAAACTTGATGTAAGCGTCCCAAAGATTCGATGCAACTAACATATATTTATGATATTGCAGATTTTATCATAACATTCTAATATAGCATGTATATATACAATACACACAAAAGTAGCATAGCAAACCTTAAGATTCGAAGATAATCTTCGCGTATCCTAATGCTAGTGTCGCCTACAAAAACTACCCTCTTGTTCTTTAAATCGTCGTAACCATAGAAATAATCGTACACCCTGCCATCGAGGTCGAGGAACATGGAATTGATGGTCAGATCTCTCCTATTAGCGTCCAATTTCCAGTCTTTCGTGAATTCCACCTGCGCGTGCCGTCCGTCGGTCAGAATGTCGATTCTCAGAGTGGTGATCTCAAAGTTCTCCTTGTCGTTTATCCTCGCCGTGATCGTCCCGTGTTTCTCACCCTTCTCATTTATCATCCTGACCTCCTCCCTCGTGAACATCTCCTTCATCTGCTGCGGCGTGGCGTCGGTCGCGAAGTCGAGATCCTTGGGCCGTTTACCCATCAGGATGTCGCGCACCGCGCCACCGGCGATCCTCAGCTCGTAATTATACTTCTTGAACAGGCCCGCGAGGCTCTGCAATTCCGAGGTGAAGACGGAACGAAACTCCGGACTGTCCAGCTTTATGACGACCGGGTCAGCCCTCGATGATGGTGCATCACCCATTCTGACTTTCCTCCAATCTCTCTCGTGCCGCGTTCTCGTTATCTCGAACTTCCTCACCTGTGTATGACAATGAGAATACCTGTTACCCACTCGTTACATTCTCCGCGTCATATTCCCGTGTTCGTTATCCGGAGGAAAAGGCTTTAGGCTTTAGGTCGGCGCCGACGGTGTCGATTCAACATAACCTTACTAATCTAACTTAAATCCTCATTCCGAGGAATTTCCGAGATTACGTTCGTTCTACTTACGGTATTTATCTCGCGACGAAGGAGATTTATTGTTCGCCGTGCCAATGTACTTAACATAGCGTTCGCATGCGTTAGTCTCTGTTATCTCGGTACATAAGACGCACGTGTTACGACGAACACGCGACCATTCTGTTTCTCTTCATGTATGATATATTCTTATGAAGAGTGATTTGTCACCTCGAAAACGTTCTACTCACAAGTCACAAGTTCTACTGCCGGTGTCCGGCACAATGAATGTATGTAAGTATGTACCACTCTTCTTTTTTAACTTAAGCGGGGAGCACACACTTCTGCACAACGCATACTTACATTTCTTCAGCTTTTATATTGGGTGCGTTCAGCCGATACTCCGCTAGCCTAGCAATCGTGAGCAGTCGCTCGTTTCCTCTCCTTTTAATCCATTGGGTCAAAGGAGAGGAAACGAGCGGAAACGAGCGAAAACGAGCGACTGCTCACGATTGCTAGGCTAGCGGAGTATCGGCTGAACGCACCCATTGTATACTCTCCAAAATGAACGTATAATGTACATACATACATACATACACCTTTATCCGCTATGCTTTTTATTTTTCTTTCGTTCGTGCGCGTGCACGTGTGTGTGCGTGCATATATGCGTGTCACGCAAAAGTATGTATTTATATTTATGCGATTTGCAAAGATTCATATTCCAAACGCACTTTTATCGATAAATGCGTTCAGAATATGGGCCAAAGTTACAGAAAGAATATAGATATAAAAATTAAGAGAATATTAATTTAAATAATACAAAGAATACATATATATATAAGTTAAATAACTTACATAAACATGAATTAAATTATAATAGAATTGTATAATAAAATTTATATGATACAAAATATAATTTAAATAATTTATTTAAATTTTAATTAAATATAATTATAATACAATTATGTAATAAAAATTCATATAATTTTATTTATAAATTTACATAGAAGATCACACACACATGCACACAAAGTAATAGAAGTAAAAGAAAATATATATTCGAATTGGCAATTTGTATACAATTTATATATTTCAGTTTTCTTACTTTCTTCAAATTATAATTTCCTCAAAGTTGCAAAATTTAAATATAGGATTTAGTTTGCTACATTTTTTGTCTAACGTAAATGCATATTCTCCTGAGATATTGTAGATTTTTCTTAATCTCTTATCTTTTGTAGAGAGAGATAAATTCATATGAATATACACTTAGAAAGCATCATTCAATTCATTCAGAACAATAATTGTAAGTATTGAAACATAATTGTAAGAAATTAAATTGTTTAATAATAGAAGAGTTTAGAGTTTGGACTATAATAATGTTATAACATTAATTGCAATATCTGATAATGATGATCCATAAGTAGATTAATCTCGCAGGACATTGATTCGCCAGTGAGAAGAGAATGAGCAAGTTCGATAATATTAAACTCTTTATTCTCCTTTCGTTTATGTACATTGCTATTTAGTACAAAAGAGAGTTCATGCACACAAGAATTAACGACAGTTCAATTAACGATGGATTTAACATCATTTTACTGGCGTAATGATCATCGATGCAATCATTACATTATGAATATCGATGTGATCACTGATGATATACTTTATGATACGGATCGTCACGTGTTTTGCTTAAATTCACCTCGGCCAGTGCTGTACGTTTTCGATATATATATGTATATATATGTATAAGTACCTGTATACGTTCCAAAGAGGATGTAATTTCAGCTATCATGCGTAAAAAGTATAAAACCTATCCACACTTAGTGTATTTCCGTACGATGTGAGCATTACAATGTCTGATCGTAAAATGTACAACAGAATTTTATATGGCAGCTACAATATTCACTTATTAGTTGCAGACAATACGTATGTATTTATATGAACAATATATCCCGAAATTAGAATTTCCACAGCGTGCCATTAGAAATATGAAGTCAGACGAACGTTATCCTTGGGATATTGTTTTAGCATTAATTTTCTGTCATGCTCTTAACGGTTGAAAAAATACCTATGACGCTTAAAACGAACACGCTTGTATCCTAGGTATGCAAAAGTTGTTTACGATTATTTCATTGCAGATGTGACTCACTTGCACTTGTGATTACACTGCGTAAATTGATTATACACTGTTGTTTCGACACGTTATACATTCTGCACTTTGGAACATTGAGTACCTCCGGAAAAATGAAACCTATTTCCGCAGCGATCGTCCTGCCTTCTTACAAGTAACATACATCCACGTCTCGCTTATCCTCTATTCTACGAGATTATCTAATTCTGTATTATTATCATCCCAAACAAATTATCAAGATCACATATATGTAATGCTATCATATATCATATACATATATGTATGTATATACACATACACAACAGAAGCATATCATGTGTGAATTATGAGCCGTATTTAGCGCTAAAGGCGAGACATGAATACGAGTTACGGTATTCATAAGACAGTGAGTATTCCTCTTTTTCTGAAAACGCATAAGTGCGGAACGGATTGTGAATAAAAATTGATGTTCTCTCATGGCATCGGGATGTAAAAACCTGTTTTGTATATCAGGCGTACAGACACGGAGTCATAAGCAAACGCATAATAAAACGCAAACTTAAATCAATTTCACATACAGGAACAATATTCGGCAATTTTATACATGATTTATTTACATCTGAAGTCGCTGATCAGAAATGTGTGTGTGTGTGTGTGTGTGCCGTTTTATCCTCTGTTTTATGTAGAGTAAAACAAAGTACTGCGAATCCTGCTTATTATGGAAATGTATTTGTATGAAAAAGATCTCACAGGCCATTTTCGTTTATATAAAAGTTTAAGAATCTACTAATCTAATTTAAAGATCTCTACTAATCTTACAGCACAAGTTGCAGGGAAAATACACCTGCTGCGATCTGATTTCTCCCTCATAGCGACTCGAATTACTTGAGCGTTCTTTTGTTATCCATTTCTTTTTTTTTAATTACACAATCACTCTAATGTTATATTATCGTACAGTATATATTTGCTAGTTAGCTTAGCAGAGGATCGTTGATCGTGATCCGAACTCGTTTTAAGGGGCGTCGCAATAATGTACGGACGTATATTTCGAACAGAAGCCGTACATTGTCGAGCGCCTTCGCGAATACGCGCATAAATGTGTACGCGCGAACGTGTCTAGACGTTAATATTTGTGAATAATAATAGCAATCACGAACTCTTATTCTTTCGTATTTGAACAATTAGATAAATAAAAATATTACGCTTATACAATTAATGAATTATGTATGTACACACAATACATGTTTCGTTCATTGATAGATGTATATGTATAGATATATGCGCACACACGCACGCACGCACACATGCACGCACACACATGTATATATATATATATATGTGTGTGTGTGTGTGTGTGTATGCATACTTCTCATTCACTTACCATCCAGAAGATAGATGTGTTTTACGCGTGGTCTAAAGAGAGGCCTAATGTTGAAGAAGTTTCTAATGCGTTAGGATTGCCAACACGTGATCAACTCCATAGAGTCTTCCTGCAAGTTTCATTAAATGCGGTTGTATGAAAAGATACAAGTTAATTTCGTTCACGAGATTGAAGACACGTGTACGTGTATTATTGATATTGATATTGCGTTAAGCGCGCCCTAGATTTCAATTTATCATGTGAAAACCACTTAATGCGGTTGCACTTATACTTTACTTACGCAGGTTTTGTTATCTTGGGAGCAGAAGTCTTCTTCTTGTTGTTTCGACATTTCTTTACATACGCTTCTATTAGATGGGCTATCTTTTTAGGATTAATCTCGCCAGTTTTATTATGGCATATCTGTAATTACATAATTGAGATATTTTAACAATTGTAAGATATTTTTGTTATTCGTTTTATCAGATTACACGCATTTAATTCGATATTGTTTTTAATTGATAGGAACTATAAGTTTAATGTATTTACCTTAGGTACTGCTTTGCGCATGATATCTTTGTATTCCTCTTTTGTGATGTGCTTTTTGGTATAATGGGGTTTGAGAACTAATTTTACTTCCTCTACAACTCTCTCTTGTCGGTTTAATTTCTTAAGAAACTGTAACAGCACAGGCAAAAACAAATTTTATATATGCATATGTAACAATACAGATTACGTTAACGCCATTGATATACCTTGTCTTTAACTTGCATTTCTACAGCAGAGCTAGGAAGATCGTCCAAGATTTGAAGCTGATTTTCGTCCATGCGTACGCCAACCTTAGGATTGGTAGCTATAAAATATATCATTTACATAAGTACCGAAATACATATATCCGCTAATAATAAGAAAAATGTTAAAGCTTGTAAAGGACATCTTTTGAACTTATAGTTACATTGTTCGTATAATAATTATTACACATAATAATTACAATTACAAATAAAAGACCTCTCTGTATTGTTTCGATATATTTTGAAACGCCAAATTTAAATACATACACTTCTTCGTCTTCTCCTTGGCGACCTTTTTACTTCTGCTTTTGGTGGCAGTTTTAATGGGCGGCAGTATTCCACCGAACAGCGCGTCAAACGCGTCTTTCTTTTCCGTGCTTTTGTTAACTTTCGGCGTGTTAGTTTTAGCAGCAGCAGGCGGTGGTGCGTTTGCAACGGGCGAGTTATTAAAGTTTGCGGGACTAGGCGGATCGAACAGGCCATCGCTCAAGGTCGATCCCGGTGAATAAGGAGACGACATGTCGACGACATTGTCGTTCGTCATATCTATGGTCGCATCGTTACCGTTCTGCCCTACCGTCGAGCTGTTCTTACTCTGGATGGATTTGGAAGATCGTGCCATGGTGGACGATTTCGCAGAATTCGTAAATACATTAGGAAGCTGCGGTCTGTCGTTTGTACGTTGCTTTATCTGATTGCTCGGCGAGATGCGATTGGGCTGCAAGAAGACCAAGTGCCAAACCGATTAAAATAGAAGATTTTACTTGGTAATTCGTCATATTCATAATAAATGAATAAAATTAAATTTGAAATTTAAATGACAGATCGCGGATACCTGCAACAGGGTCCTTTGCGTGGTGTTAGGCGTGCTGGCGTTGAAGCTTCTTTGCACCGCGGCCGCCACTGTCGCCAGCACAGGATTAATGGTGCTAAACGGATTGGCGGTTGATTGCACGTTTTGCGGATTCTGCTGGGTCTTGGGCGGACTGCTGCCGCACGACTGGGCTATGTCGGTCTGGCTCTCCGGTACGGGAGACGCGGAAACGTCTCTCTGCGGCGACGGTCTCTTGATAGTCACCATCGATATTATCTTTGGCTTTTCTATCGGCTTCTCCTGACTGGGTTGTTCCTGCTGTTGACTGGGCTCGTCCAACGGCAACGGAGGGTCCGCAGGTCCGTCGTGTTTCCTAGGCGAGCTGCGCTGCACTCGATCACGCTCGTCGTTTGGCGTGGCTTCCTGGCTAGCATCCGGCGTTGGAGAACGGGACTTAGTCGGATCGAAGGGATCGTAAGCGTCCGGCGAGGTTGGCGGAGACGTTGGCGGTTCGGGAGGAGTGTTGGGACCAATCTTGAGACGCAGCTCCAGCTCCTCCTGAGCCCGCATCTCTAGCTCCTCCTCTGCCCGCTCATCCATCATCTCCTCCTCCTCTTCCTCCTCTTCTTCCTCCTCCAACAGTGGATTTATCAGGGACGGTCTGAGATTGCTGGGTTGCTTATTTATAGAGAATTTGATCTGCGGCTCCGGCGGGGTCTTCGGGCCCTGCGAAACAAACTGCTCGCGCGGCGGCGATGTCTGCGACGGTGGACATTGCTCCGGCGACGCGGCGAGCGCCTCCTGCGCCTGCTTGTCATCGTCGTCGCTCAGGACTATAACGTCACGGGGCGATGGAGTTTGCTCGCGGAACGGCGACTGATCCAGATCGATCACAGCTACGGGCTTCTTCGTCGCTGCGATCTCCGCCGCCTTGGACTTCTTCTTTTTGTCCTTCTTCACCTTCGGCGATTTGGACCGCTTGTCCTTCGTTTTCTCCTTCTTCGATCGTTTCGCGGAAGGCGCCGTTTCCGTCTGAACGGACTCTCTTCGTCGACGTTTTATCGGTGGTGACAACGGAATAGTTGGGGGTAATTCCGGTGTAGCTGGGGGATTTATCTCGTTGTCTTTATTGAAACATACGCTAACTAATATATTATCACCACTGGCAAACACCTCTTTCGACGGTGGCGGAGTCCTGTTGCGCTTGCTCTTCCGCCGTTTCTCCGCCTCCTTGGACTTCCGGCTCTCTTTCCGGCGTTCCTTCTTCTTCTTCTTTATCGCCTCTTTATTTGTCAATATAACAGTCAGATTCTTTGGCGATACGCTGTCCAGCACGGACGGCGGGGACCAATTCCGCGAGCCGATAGGTTCTTGCTGGATGTGCGGTGGGGTCTTCGATCTCGAACGCGACCAAGACGGCGTCCATTGTGCGCTCCACGAACGCTCGTGCTCCTCGCGCTCACGTGGGAACTGCTGCTCCTGCTCCACGCTTTTCTCATTCAGCTGATCCCAGTTTCTGTTGCGATCTCGCTCTCGTGAGATCGATCTGCCTTTCGACCGCGACCGACTGTGCGCCTTTCTCTTGCCGTGCTTCTTCTCGTGCGTCTTGGACGACATCCTCTTTGGCGATTTGCTGCGCGATCTCTTGCGGTTCCTCGAGCGACTGCGCGACTTGTACTTCTTTGTTTTGTCCTTTCGCTTGTCGCGCGATCTCGACAAGGATCGCCTGGTCCGTCTCCTAGGCGATAGCGATCGCCGCTTGCGCGACAGTGATCGCGAACGCGATCGCCTGCGAGAGATGGAATGCCGCCTCGACAGAGATCGTCTACGTGACATGGATCGCCTTCGCGACTTGCGCCTGGTACGCGACGACGATCTCCTGCGCGAATTGGAACGGCACGATTTGGAATACGATTGGCCGCGATCTCTCGACCAGGACAATCGGAGATGGGATCTGCTCTTCGACCGTCCCTTCGAATACGATCGACTCCGTCGATCCTTTGAGCCTGACTGAATCTTGTTTGACGAACGACTTCTGGATCTGCTTCTCCCTGACTTCTCCCTGATATCTCTACCGTACTCATCCTTTCTCGGCTTATCGGCCACGATCTTTCTCACGTCATATCGCGGCAACTCTTTCCTTTTCTCTTTCTTCTTCCCAATTTCCTTTGTCTTCTTTCTAAAAAACTTATCTTTATCCTTTTCTTTCTCCTTCTCTTTCGACTTGGATCGTTTGTCTTTATCGCGGTATGACCTCTCCTTCGTGCTCTTTGAAAGTTTCTTCCACGCGACCAGATTATCCGACGAAATGTTCTCCTTATTTTTCTCCGTGCTCTCCTTGCTCTTTTCCTTCTTGTCCTTCTTCCTCTTCTTCTTGCTATCGTCTTCTTTCTCATCCTTTAATTTTTCACGCTCCTTCGTGTCCAGTTTGCTCTCATCTAATATCTCACCGTCTTCCATCTCTTTCTCTTTTCGTAACAACAAGGCGTTCAATTCCTCCTCGAAATTTATCGCCTCATCGGTTTCGGAGATAGCCTCAGTGCCCAGCTCGGCATAACCACTCGGTGACCTGCAGTCGTCCAGATCGTCATTCGTCTTGTCCTTCGTCGGGGTGATAGGCTCCAAGCCGGCTTCAAACGGCGCTGTACATCGCTCCAGCATATTCTCGTCCCTCACAGGCAACTCGTCCTTGCAGGGTGTATAAGCACCGTCCGAGTCCCAATTGTTATCGATGGAAGTGGCAAGCACAGGCGGTTCGTCCAGCTTGTCCTTCTCAATCGGGAACTGCTCCGCTTCGTCGTCCACCGTCGAGAAGCTATCCTTCTCATGCCGCTGGTCCGACGAATTTGGATCCTCATTGTCGCTCGACGCTTTATCGTCTTTGTCGTCGCGATCCGCCGTGGAAAGTTTATGACCACTCAGCGAACGCTCGTCGTCATCGTCGTCGCTACTCGATTCTCGCGAGTCGTTGTGCGCATCCGCCTCGTCTCGCAATCTAGTCTTCGAGCGCGACAATGCGGTCTTGCTCGCCGTGCTACCGTCTTCCAAGTCCTCCGAACTGCACTCCACGCTCAGCTCGCTGCCGTCCAATTTCCTCGGCGACAGCCGGGATACATCGAGAGAGGATGACACTGTGCTTTCCGCAACCGCGACGTTCTCGGGTGACGTCAGGCTCGCCACCGCCGATCGTAACACTTCTCCTTCGCTGTCCTCCTCTTCTTTCATACTGGGTGACGCGTCGACATGTTTCGGTTTTTCGTCCACCTTCGTAGTTTCTTCATCCGATGAGCTCTCTGAACGAAACTCTTTGCTTTCGTCCCGACTAGCCAGTTTGAGCGGCTCTTTCTTCTGTGGGCTCACTGGAATGAGTTCAGTGTTCTTTTCTTCTTCTCCTTCTTCTCCCTCTTCTTCTTCTTCTCCGGCAAATCGTGATCCAATTTTCATGAATTGGTTCAACGCTATTGATCGTATGGTTGTAGATTCTATTGCTGACTTTGACGAACTGACACCCTTGTCGCTATCTCGTTCTTGCTGCGTATCGATCGGTGCCGTCATCATTCTTTTCTGAAGAAAACTCGTGTTCTGCGAATAATCGTCTGAGTGCAGGCCACTCAACCGATTGTTAAGCCTCAGTTTGTTGCCGATCTTGAAGGTGATCTTGCCGCGATGCGAGTCGTGCGAGATTTTTTTCGGCGGTATCTTACTCAGAGTTTGTCGCTCCTTCTGTAACGCCTCAAGATACGGGTCGGCCGGTTCAGGTGGCACATCTGGTAGATCGCAGGCTTGAACGTCTCCCACGATGATATCATCGTCATCAGGGATGTTGGGCGGTATCGGTGGCGGTTGTAGTGGTCCAAGCTGCTGTGACAACTCCTGTTCCGTATGCCTAGCCACGTCCATGGTCTGCGATGAGTAGATGGAAAAATTAGGGCAGTCCGACTGCGAGTCATTGTCATCTTCATCATCGTACGCGGTGAGCCGAATGGGCTCCTGCGGGCGCTCCCTGCCTTGAATCGTTGTCGTGGCAATCACTGACATCGCAGGATAAGTCGCGGACACCAGCGGCGGCGCAATTGGCATAGGTATGTTACAACTGTCCAAGCTGTTCCGTGATCCTGCTGCCTTCTCCAGCGCTGCTTTCATCGGAGCGGAATCGTCGTTGCTATCACTGTCGGCCGCGAACGGATCGTACTTGTCGCCGCTTGCCGGTAAATCTCTTGGCATTTCCTCCTTGTGGCTGTCGTCGATCACCAATTCTTGCTCGCTGTCATCCTTGTCGCTTCTAGAGTTCTCCTCGAAATCCAACAAACCGGACGGCGGCTCCGGTGGCGGCAACAGAATCATCGAGCCATTACTGTGAAGCTCTTCCTGTGCATCGCAATCGGGCTTGGTCGGTGGCTCGATATCGCAGTAGATATCGCAGTCATCATTGTCCTGTCGCGTAGTAGGCGACGCAGCCGCAGGTGACGCGATTGCAGGCGACACGGCCACGGAATCCGGTCTCACGATACGGTCGTTGTGCTCAGGAGGTTGGTGGTAGTTTCGCGTCATATCCTCTGACAGGTTGACCGGAGGTAGACTGTTGTGCATGTGCACCGGCTGCTGCATGTTCATGGGATCCAATGCATTTGGCGGCGCGACAGAAGAACCACCGGGAGGCAGGATGTTCAATGGAGGTGGTCTAGGCCGAGGGAATCTGTCCGTTATGTGCGGAAACGGCGGCCTCTGCTCGAAGCCGACACTGCCGTCCGTGTAGTTAAACGGTCGCTCGGCGGGCGGTGGTGGCGGCGGAAAACGCAGCCGCTCGTTGCGAAAGTGCTGGGGATTGCGGCTGCGGAACGGCGGTGGCGGCGCGTGGGCGCCGAACATGGGTGGTCCGCCGCAGTGCTCAAAATTTGGATTGTAGAACGGCGGCGGACCAAAGTCACGATTCCCGAAGTTGTCCCGCGGACCGCCGCTGCCAGTCCCGCTACCATAACTGTGTCTACCACCACCGCTTGGCGGTAATGAATCCCGGCCACCACTGTAAGTCTGTCCCCCGTGTCGGCCGTTGTCACGGCCATAACTACCCCGGAAGTTGCCTCGGTTACCGCCTCCGCCACCGCCACCGCCACCTCCGCCGCAGGGATTGTTGTACATTGGCGCTTGCGTGATATCGTTGGAATTAATGTTGGACAGATCCAACGGTGTGTCTACTTCCTCCAGGATTGCTTCATCACGTCGCGTAACCTCCTCCTCATCCTGCTTCTCCTTCTTCGGGCTCTCGTTGTTATTGATACTGTGCTTGTTTTTCTTTTCAGGATTATTTACCATCAGCGTACCGTTAGCCTTCAAGATCACGTTGTCCTTCTTCTTGGTCGAGTGCCACAGCTCCTGACTGCTCATTATGCTACTCAGTAAATCTGTTATGCCAGTACTATCCGCTTCGTTGATCGGATCGACGATAGTTTTTAAAACGGCGCGACGTCTAAGCGATGGTACTGCCGATCGTCGTTGTCGTACGGTTATTATTGGACCATTTCCAATCCCAATGGAATATTCATCGTCATCATCCGACCTAAATGGAAAGAATCATTTTACATTAAAATATTTCACTGAAATATTACTTTCTTATTTTTATTTTCATTATATTTCTTAAAATCCACCAAAAATCGTCTGAACGATTAAATATTAAGATCACACATTATAGAGCTATTGCTATAATCTCATATAAGTGTATATCTTACATAGAATAAAAAAACGGTGTGCAATCCGATACCGCGTTACTAAAATAAAATATATTATATCTTTACATATCTATGCGTACAAAATAAAGGAATTACGTAGACTGAGTGACGGGTTAATCAAGGATAATATGCGTACAAGTGAATAAATAGGATCAATCGCTCACCCAGGTGGACTGTAATCTAATCCCAGATTATTTCCAAAGAGACTGACTTGAGGTATACCGGCGCTGTATCTGGCGTTCGTGAGAACAGTTTTCTCAGGAATAGAGATGTTATTTTTCATGGTAGGTACAAGCAGCGGCACCTTCGGCTTCTCCATACCGAGTGTAGAGGCCAATCTTCGTTTTACTGTTCGCGTACTAGTCAGCACGGACGATTCGTTGCGCGCACGTCGTTTGTATTTTCTCCTCTGGAGATAGTAGAGTATAGTAACCTCATATGCTTTTATGAAGACGATAAAAAATACGAGAGATAGGCAATGTATATATTTAATAACAAAAATTGTATATAGAAAATAAAATACTGTAAAGCAGCGTGAGGAAGCGTTGCAAAAAAGAATTCTCTTTAAAATCTAATTTGTCGAAAAATCTTTGAAGTAAAAAATAAGTTAGAGTAAGTTAGCGAGGTAAGTAATTAATAGATTTTATTGAATAGAATGTAATTTTTTAGAAAAGATATACAAGTTTAATTAGTATACAAGTTATAATTATTTTGAAAGCGAGATAATTAAGTCTCATTGAAATATAGGTATTAATCAATTTGTAAATTCATTGTTCTTTAAGTTTTGACTTATATTAGTCTCGATAAGTAGATGCATTGCTCTTGATGACAATGCTCAGGGTAAGCTCCGTTTCTTGTACACGATTTAATAATTTTTAACATTTATAGTTATAAAAAAGTGTATTCTTATCTTTAACTTATTTATAATATTTATATTCTTATGCTTTATGTCACGGATCATATTACAATATACAGGGTGTCCGAAAAATCGCCTACTCCACTTCGGGAGGTGATTCGGGACCCAAAAACAAGCAAAAAAGTTCATACAAACATAGGTCCGGAAATGAGCCGTTTCCGAGTTATAGCCACTTTTATGTTCAAAAATCGTAATTTAGAATCCGTTGGCATCCCTCTTTCTTAATTATTTCTTAAATTAAAAATTTTTATTTTTTAATATTTTTAATTTTTTTTTTCTTTTTTCAATTTTTCAATATTTGTAAATACGATTACATTATTTTTAAAAGAAATCAGTTGTTTTCACGGCTACTTGAAATCAGTTGTTTTCACGGCTATTCAAAATTAGTTGTTTTCACGGCTACTTGAAATCAGTTATTTTCACGCCTATTCAAAATCAGTAAGTAAATCACGGCTTTTCAATAAGTTTCAAATTATTATTTAACAACACCTTACTTTTAGGTTGTATCTAATCTTTCCGTATTCACCAATGGATCGTTTAAGTTTTAATGAATTAGCTGATATTTAAAAATAAAAATTTTTAATTTAAGAAATAATTAAGAAAGAGGGATGCCAAACGGATTCTAAATTAAGATTTTTGAACATAAAAATGGCTATAACTCGGAAACGGCTCATTTCCGGACCTATGTTTGTATGAACTTTTTTGCTTGTTTTTGGGTCTCGAATCACCTCCCGAAGTGGAGTAGGCGATTTTTCAGACACCCTGTATATTATAAAATAAGAAAGATCACATTATTAAGAAAAAAATCGCTCATGATTTTAATCAAGTTAAATGATTAACACTGTTGATGTTTGTAAGATTTAGCATATGAATATAATAAAGTCATTTAAGCAAAATTAAGAAAAAAAACAAGTGCATCTAGTGTGAGAAAATCGTTTTATTTATATAAATTAAGAACAATGAGTTACAATCGAAAAGTCTAATTCAATTGGATTGTGTTACGAAGATGGCATAAGTATAATTGGGGAATACAGCAATGATCGAATAGTCCGAGATGATGAACACTTAATGAGACACGCTGGCATTACCAGACGGTACAATCCAAGGTGATTTAAGAAATTATATATATATATATATATATATATATATATATATATATATATATCTCTTAATAAACGTAGCACAAGAATGCGTGAATATGAAAACTTTTATTTATTAATCAATTAAACAATATCGACAGAACATATGTTCGTCTCATCATAAAACATTAAGATATATCAACGTTTAAAATCATTTCATATACACATCTGGCAATGCGACGAGCAATGTTACGTGTTAAACTATTATGCTACATTTGAGGAGAAATTAACGTTATACCTTGCGCGTTTTCTTTGTTCTTTTCTTACACTTCCTCCTCGACGTGGACGATGCGACTTTGACATACGTCACTATTTCTTCCTCTTCGCCATCATGATTGAATTCTTTGATTCGTACTTCTCGAACTAAATTACTGCCGCTTTTCTTCGAATTTTTCGTGAGTTTTTTCTTCTTCCTTTTCGTCGTTTTAGTCTTGGACTTTGTATTTGAACGCGTGGAAGAAACATTACCTTCTAAGCTAGTGTTCGGCGAACGACTTCGACTGTTGTCACCAATCGAGTCGAGGCCGGATGAAGTAGACGGCTGATTCGGGTCGACAAATTGCTCGATACTGTTTGTTGGATCGTGATCGCGCACTCTGCGAGTGCGAGTGGCAGATACGTACGTACGATCATTGACATGAGGAAGTATATTACGGAATATGTTTAAGTTCCTTCTTATTTCACGGAGAAACCGACTAGAGTTTCTTCCCGTTATAAGAGTTGGCACAAAGCTCGACAAATACTGCAAAGATAAAAACAAAGAAGGAATTAGTATACTTTTGTTCATTACATATGGTTTTCATAAAAAGGAGTTTCTTTAAGTATTGGTGCAAAAAGGATTAGGTAGTAACAAGAATAAGTATGAATGTGTACGAGTGTGTTAAGTGTGTAAATTGTAAACCAAGTCCAAGTCTTGGCTTTTTAAGCTGAAGTTAAATAAAATCTATCTATGCTCCATCCAACGAGAGATCATGGTTGGTTCTGCGCATAGGTGTGAAAAGTAAGAGTAAAGTCCCTAGAGCGTGGACACCATATATGTAAATAGATATGTTCTGTGGGTGGAGATCTGCGCAAAACAGACGAGTTTTCATCCGAGCCAACCATGTTCTCTCGTTGGACGGAGTATATATCCTTGTATAGTTTTGCAATTTTTTTAAATTAATTTCTTATATATTTCTAACTAACAAAAATCTCTAATATATATTGCAAAAATATAAATTTACATGAGTAAATATACGCATAAATATGTATCACATAATAACAAGTGATCATGTAATATGAGAGATAATACATGTCAAACTCTTAAAAAATCAGTATTTAATGTAAAAAAAATTAACCTTGATGTACAATTAATGTGTACTTATTAAAAGATTTCCTTTATATGAAAGAGATGTCAGTTAAGCTATATGAAAAAGTTCAATATATCGTATAATTTGGCCTCAAATATTGAATACAAGAACTGTTACCGTTCTTCTAGTCGAACTGCTTTGAGTACACCCCGGACAATACCATTCTTCAATAGGAACTGTCGTTATAGGAGGTGTTAAACATTCCATATGATAGCCACGATCACAGTCATCGCAAAGTAACATTCGATCTTCTCTGTCACTTTGATGACATATTTCGCAAAATGTTGGATCGTCCAACACTTGATTTTCAATACGTGGCACAGTTTCTACTGGTAAATGATTTATGACCTACGATAAGTAAAAGAGGGGTATTAAAAGCGAGATATAAATTTTTCACCCTATTTCTCTATAAACTGGTAAAACATTTTTGAACGTTTCCACTATTTGGCAATATTTTTTAATCAAGACGTTATAATAAATAACAAAATAAGAAAAAATATATCAATGTAAAAAACAATATTACCTTGCCATCAAAATGATCTTTAACAACGATTGTAGTGAAGGATATACGATCCACGGGACAAGTATTAATGTTCTTACTCCATTCCAATAAACATTCCAAGCAAAAGCAATGATCGCATACAGACGGAGTACCAACTTGTTGTTTTCTAAATGGTAGCAAACATATAGAACACTTTTCTGATTGATCATCGCTGCTATCGGAGTTGGCGTTGACATTGGTTGACGAAGAAGAACCAGGTTTATCGGCATTCTCATTTTTAGTTTTAGATAAAACTTTACGCTTAGTATTATATTTCTTGATATCCTCGTCTAATTCGTCGGAACTAGACCAGTTACTTTGCCATTCGGATGTGCTACTGCTATCTGTAATACACATGACATTAATAACTTATATAGTGAGCACGCTAATATTTCAAGATGTCAATAGTAAACATGCTAACCGCTCTGAGTAGATTTGCTTCCTTCTGCGCTACTATCATAATTAGATTCATCCTCACTAATAACTCTCTGCAACAAAATAACATTAATAAAGATATGTAATTGTTAATAAATTTAGCTAAATATTTCTGAAGACTTACATGGTTTTGTCGTCTAATCACAGGCTTAGGTACATCACTATCATCACTACTACTTTCTCCTTCGCTAACAACTCTCTGAAACAGCAATAAATGCAATTATAATTTAAGAGTGTAATAAATAAAAAAATTTCTTACTCAAAATGTAAAATAAGATTATGAAAGGCAAGAAATCACCAAGAAAGGCTAATAAGTATCAAACATTATTTTATAAATACTATGCCATTAGGTAAAAAAAAATTTAATTTTATCTGAAAAATATTACAATATAATTAGACCAAGCACTTTCACACGTACAAGTGTTCTCTTCTTTCTTCGAGTTTGTACAATAACAGATTCATCGCTGCTATCACTGTCACTTATGACAATTTTTTTGCGTTTGTGAGTATGATGGCGTATCGAACAAGTATCGAACAAGTTATCGCTGTCACTTGACATCTTGACTATCGCTAAAATTCATACCCACTGAAATTCTCCTATAGATCTGTAAACAAAAATTTCCGACGTTATCTCAATTTACATTCACGGTGCTCTCTGATTAAAGAAACAAACGAATCATTCAGTCTTTAAATTATTACACCGAAAATATCGCTCTTTCACTTGGGATCTAACGTCACGAGCATCTGAATCCTCGTCTACTCTGCGTTCAGCTCACGGGCGAGGAATCTCGCATTACCCTAATCCCTAAACGAAGCATTTGAATAGAGGAATTACTTGATTCTGCTGCGCTGCGCGGCACTCTCGCGGTAGCGTTCGTGTCCCGTTCCAGGACCTCAGACGTGGATCGTGGCCGAGTCGTCACCCACGCTGGCGACCGACATTGGGGAGCGTCGCTGTCTCGATTCGGTCTCGCCGTCGAACTGTGCAGGTGGACGTTGGCGTCGCGGCGAACAAGCCCGTCGACGACGACGGCTCACGACGGCAAAGGTCGAGGCGACGCTGCCGATCCCCCTCGGTGCCGTTGAGGTGGGCTCGCGAACGAGTTGGAACGAGTGTCTAACGAATGGAACGCGATGATGCACCTCGGAGTTGATGCTTTTCGATTTCCGTCCCGCTCCGCGCTCTCACTATCTCTTTCCCTCTCTCTATCACTCTGTCCTTCTCGTTCTCTCACTCTCGACGTCGCTCCCGATTCCTCGCGCGAATTCAGCGTCGCACGCCGATGGATCGCGGTCGCGCGGCGCCGATTCCTCGGCCCTCAGACGGACGGAACGGCTCCGAGCCGTTCGCTTCCGGAAATTAGCCCCTCGCACGACTTCTCCCGTAACAGAGCTCGTCCAAAAGATACGCGTTACTATCGCGAGACTGCAGACATCTTGGATTTGGATCGCGGACGCCGAGGTGTGCTGGTGTTGGCTGGTGTGCCGTGATTGCCGTGCTATGGTGTGTATATGGACGACGTCATGATGTCACTTCCGGCCTCGCGCGACGATCAACGGATGAGGATGCGAACGCGGTACCGAGAGTACGCCGTCCGCGTACTCAAAATTCCGATTTCGTGAGTGGACGGGCGCCCGCGACGCGGCGACGCGGCCACGGCCGGGAGCGAAGCGGCAAATCGGCAAATGTCGAGCGTAGATAGCGTAGTACGTAGTACCTGACTGACCGGAAGTGAGCGCGCGGTCGGGCGATTTGAACGAGCAAGCGCGAATTTATCATGGACTTCGGTGGACGGGGCGCAAAATTTCCCGGAGACTCGCTTCCGTTTGCTCGAGAATCCGCTTCTCTTTTCTTCCGATCCTCTGAGGCCACGGTCTTTCTGAGGCCCAGTTTCACAAGGGTCGGTTAACTTTTAACCTTAGATTAACTTACTCTTCGAGCGCGAGGAGAATAATCGACTGTGATTGGTTTATTTTCTTACGGCCTTATGCTAGGTCTACAATGCGAGTCGT